GTGTGCGTGTGCGTGTGCGTGTGCGTGTGCGTGTGTGTGACTAATAGAGGCAGGCATGCACAGCTGTGGGCTGGAGCTGCGCCTGATGCAGCATACAGACCAGAGAGCTGTCAACATGCCTCATCAGCGGTGGGAGGTGGGGTCAATGAGGGCCTAGTGGAGACAGCCAGCAAGGAATGCGCCGGCCCCCCAGAGGAAGGAGGGCGCGCTAGTAAAAAAGACCAGGGACGGCTCTTGTGTAAGTGTCTTTTACGGGTGCAGATGTAATGTTAGGAAACGCTTGCACTGAGATTCAGGTTTAGATTTGTGTGGTGGTAGAAATGTGTGCAAATATATGCAGCCTGTGAGCAAAAACATAAAAAAATATTACAAACTTTGAAAGATAGTGTATATTAAAGGGGTCATGAACTGCCTTTTTTATTATTTTGTACTGTTCTCTGAGGTCTACTTATAATGTTATCAAAATTTTGACATCCAAAAACAATTTAGAAGAAACAGGCTATTTTCTGTCCTGTTTTGTCCGCCCTCATCGGAACGCTGTGTTTGAATAGACTCAGAACTAAATGTACACTGTTATGATCGGCTTACAGTTGTGTATGTTTGACAGTCTACTTCACAGATGGATGCTGCTATGATTTAGGTTAAAAACGCTTAAACGATCTGTAATAACAGACAATGCAATAGTGACCACATAATAAAATCAGTTACTCAAACTTATGTGGTGCGACATAACTGCAGGATCCAATATAGTCAGCACAGCACGTCTTTTAGTTTCAGTCTTTCTGAAAATCCTGCGTTGAATTGTGCCTTGTTTGTAAATAAATCCATGGTAAAATGAAGCGAACAAAGGACCAAGTTCTTACTGACGCGGTCTGGATCTTCATTAAAAAGTTGATCCACTCTTTCCTAATGTTGAGATCAGGAAGGCAATGCAAAGACTGTTTTTCCACAGCTTGGCACTGTACAGTGTCTTGTGTTTTGGAGCCATCTTTATCATATGGTTTCTGCATAGACCTGTGTTTGCCTCTCTCGTTATTCATCTACTACATGTGTGAATCGGTGGGCGGGGCTAAACAGGCAGTGCTGTAGAAGCAGGTGTTGATGATCTTCTGCGGAGGCGGTGTTTAGCCACACTGTTACGTCATAAAGTGGCACATCCCACAACCTGTCGTTTTGGCAGATTGGCTTCAATATAAGCTGTTTTTAGACTAAGTTCTGAAACTTATAGGATGTTTTTATAATACAATGACCTCTTATATGTCAAAAGATCAAGGGAATTTTGATTTCTCAGTTCATGACCACTTTAAAAAAGAGCAAATGTTTGACTAAGAAAACAGCAGAAGGTAGTATTGGTCAGTAATGTTAGGCCTAAAATAAAGGCAAGGCTAAGTAAAGGATCGACTGAGGTCACACATTTTCCTGAAGATTGTATTCTACTATCGTAAGTTCTGCTGCTCTGTTTCATTCTGTTAGTGTTGTTACATAAAGCTTGTGTCCGGCACACCAGACCTATATATGGAGCTGCTGAGAGGTGCTCAATCAAACAGGCTTTATACTGCTCCCCAGTGCAGACAACACATGCTCACACTGTCACACTCTGCTGCCTGCTCACTGTATCTGTTACCATGGCAACTGTGACAGTTTTCAGCTGTTGCCTTGACAACAGTCGAGTACTCCACCATCTAATTTGCTCAGACAAAGACACTGACACCTCTGAGAGGCAAAAGGGCACTCTGAGCTTTGGAAAGGATGTGGCGTGTATCAGTTGGCCCAGTGACCTGTCATTATTCACAAGAGCGCAGCAGAACAGAGACCTAGTCGACCCTGAGCCGAGCTGAAAGTCCTCCTTTATCTTCTGTTTTGCGATCTACACTCACCTGTATACATATCAAATGACTGGCCTGGATCTTTTTTCCACGCTATTATTATTTCTTCAGGGCCATGCTTGTCCAGCGCACGTGGTGTGGGAAAAGGATGAGCTGTGTAATATGTCCATCTATGACCATTGTCATTGCTCATTGTTTGAGGGTTAATGTGTCAGTAGTGGGTTTCTTTACATATATTATATTTTATATGCACTTATTTTGCTGATACATATCAAAAGTAATTTGAATGTGCTCTTTATTTGGCCATTAAGTTTCCTAAAGAGCATATCATTAGACTAGCTTCATAATCATTTCTGATGTTCAAATGTTATTATTATCGATATTATTATTAAAATGTGTATAATTGTAAAACAATTTAGTAAAAAATACAAAATATATTTTTAAATGTATAATCATTAATACATTGGGTATGATTGTTTAGTTGTTATTTATTATATTATTAACATGTACATTTAAAAATATGTATTTTAAAAATTGTGTATTTTTTATATTGTGCATGTGTATGTAAAATATTCTGTGAATATTTTAACGTTATATTTACTTTTAAAATAAAAATATATAATAATATTTATATATATATATACAGTATATACGTTGACATCAATAAAATGTATTTTTAAATGTATTTTTGTTATAATAATGATTATTATTATTATTATAACTGTGTAAAATTGTTGTTCTGTTACTAATTGTATTAATTGTATTACCATATTATTGTATTACCATATTCGCGTTGTGGTTGCATCACCACCTCGGGTGTGAATTATTCTCTAATAGTTCAACGGCTCGTCGTCAATTATTCCTTACTTAAACTTAATTCTACTCCACTGCCAAATATATATCGCTGTGCATCATGGTTTTTAGTTTAGACCCCTTAATCTCTTCTTCTTGTACGATTTTATGGCGGTTGACAAGCCAACTTATGGTGTATTACCACCACCAACTGGACTGGAGTGTGAAGCATAACGGGAAAGAGGGAAAAAGGAACCCAAAAAAAAAAAAAAACAAAAAGAAGGAAAAAAAACAGTGTTCGCTCGAAATCTCTAGAGACACGTCGAACCCCATCCCTTAATCTCTTCTCTATCCATCCTCTTAATGGCCTTAGCTGCTGCTGTGTCCTCGTTGCCTGTTTGTTTCTCATGCGTCAGCTGACAGTGCAGGGAAACTGGGTCACTTATGCCCAGCCCAGTGTGTGCAGTGTCTTGCCCTCTGTCCCTCCATTCTCATATCTGTGTGTGTGTCTGGAGTTTCGTGTTTCACTGATCTACAGTTTACCTCATGTTTGTGAAGTTGGATCAGTATCTGTGTGTTTTTGTGGGTATGTAGAGATGTAGTCTTGTTTGGCACGCTTATACTACCCAGATGTCTACATGTGATTGGCCAGGCTCCTGTGTCATGGGCTCCTCCCACTGAAGTTACTCGGCGTGTGCACTCGTGCACAGCAAGTGAATGCCTTCCCAGAAGTGGGAGGTGCTGTCATCCACGTGTTTGTGTGAGTAAGAGAGAGTGGCAGTGGCAGGGTAAAAACAGAGGCTGGGGGAGGTGTGCGCTGGGCAGAGGCATTAAAGAAAAAGCAGAAACTTACAGAGAAGCATGTGACATTTTTTACTTGCAAATCGAAATTCCCAAATGTCTTCCTTATAATAAATTACATTAATATAAGCAGCCTTGACTGTGCTCTGTCAAGATGTAAGAGATATTTTTGATCATCACAAAATAAATCCTGACAAGATGACCAGTTATTTTATATATAGAGAGGAATAAAATGACATAAGTAATGAGATTTTATATATTATAAATTATATATTGTATATATAAAATTACATTGGATTACATTATGATTATTTTATATATAAAGCAAGATATAAATTATACATACAAATACATATATATGACAAATTCTACATACACCCACACATACATGCATACATACATACATACATACATAGAGAGAAATAAATTAATTATACATATAAATGCATATATAATATAAATATATATTATTAAATTGTTACATTGTATTACATAATGATAATTCTTTTATATATAAAGAAATAATACATATATAAATTAGTATCTTGTAATGATAGTATGTCTCTTTTTACCCATATCTATAACATATCACTGGATTTATTATTCTGCAAGTTATTTTTTATGGACTACTTAGCAAATATATTTATCTACATTATAACATATCTTCCTCTATTTTAAGTTCTCTCTCATCCAGCTGTTTACGTCTCTTACTGGTCTCTTGGGTTCCTTGTTTTGCTTTATACTGGACTTCTTTAATGATAGACGGGGTATTAAGGAAATAGCCAACGCCCTCCAAGTGCATGTGAATGCTGGTCTCGTATTCTTTTACCTGGTTTTTGCTCTACAGCCAGACATTTCATTGTTGCAGCCGTGCCTTTTTGCAGACTATAGACTTTAAGTGCACCCTGCCAGCTCTTAGCACATGTGGAAAGTTTTATTTACTTCTCTGTTTCCCCTTATAGACTCTGAAGAGGAAGGAGAAGGACTACGAGCATGAGATGGAGCGTTTGGCGCGGGAGAAGATCGCCTTGCAGCAGAGACTTGCCGAGCTCAAGAATGAGCTGAGTCAGCGATTGGACGTGATAGAGATCGACCGCATTCTTCGACAGACTGTCCAGCCAGATGATGACCAGGCCTCTACCTCCACTGCCTCAGGTTAGTCTTGCAGAAGGCCTCGTCTGCAGGTTTCCATGCTAATTGACAGCATGCTTTTCGACAGAGCTTAAAAACTCCTTGAAATCACTTGATAAATGAATTTATTTTGTCCTGTGATTTTCTAAGTTTAAGTTTAGTACAAACACTCATTCCCCTTTTTAAAAAAATAGTCAGTAGGGGTTGACTAGACAAAAATCTGTACATAAAAACACAAGATAAGTCAGCCCACAAGAGATATTTTTAATTGCATACACAACCATTCAAAAGTTTAGGATGAGTAAGATTTTTTTTTAATACTTTTATTCAGCAGCAATCTATAAAACTGATCAAAAGTAACAGTAAAGGCGTTTATGATGGTACAAAAGATTTCCATTTCAAATTAATGCAGCTCTTTTGAACTTTCTACACCTCAAAAAATCCTTTGGGCTGAAATAAATGGCATAGCATTTTGTATGACGGTTTCCACAGAAATATTAAGCAACACAAAGAAGAAAAATGTTTTTTGAGCAGCAAATCAGCATATTATCATTTAAAAATAATAAATGAAAGAAAGAAATACAGGGGGAAAAAATAAAAGAATAATATTCAACAGTATTAATATTTTTGCTGTATTTTTAAGGAAAAGTACATTTACATTAACATTAAAAAAATCTTACCAACCCCAAACTTTTAAACAGTACTGTATATATCCTAAAAATTGTAAAAAGTACACTAAATGGCTTCAAAGCTAATGAAAATTGAGTAAAAGCCACAAAAACTCTTACTTTGATCTTGTTTTCAACTTGAAACAATCCAATGAATAGTTTCTGACCCTTTTTGTTTTGGCTTTGTATCTACAGAAGGTGAAGACGACATTGATGAAGATATTGAAGACGAGATCTTATCCGCCATGCCTAGCGCCTTACCCAAAGTGCCTGCTGCGCTTCAGCCAGACTTAATGAAGTCCCATCCTGTGTCATGCCTCATAACACAGCACATCCCCATCCCACACAAACCGTCTAAGACTTTACCCCCCATTCCCTCAGCTCAACTATCCCCTGTCGCCGCCGCTGCCCTGATCACAGCACCCGCTTTGACCGCAACCCCAGCACAGGCTCCTAACGGCCCGGCATCTGCTCCTGCCGCCCAGGTGGTGACCCCGCAGGCACTACCTCCGGCCCAGACCCATATAGTGACCGCAGCCAGCCAGCAGCCTTCCGTCATCGCACATGCGGGATCGGCGTCACACGCCTCAGTCATCCAAACCGTCAACCGGGTGATCCAGCCGGGCTCCAAGCATGTGGCCCACATCGCCCCTTCCTCCTCGGTGCAGCTGGCCCCCGGACCTCAATCCATTAGCCACATCACTGTCGCCCATCTTCCGGCAATCTACTCTCAGCCTGTCACAGTCACACAGCCGGCTGTCATGAGTCACATCGCGCAAACGCTCTCTCACAGCCAGATGAATGGCACTTCGGTGACCAGCGCACAAGCCGCCGTGGTGGGCAAGCAGATGCCAGTGGGCGCTCAGATGATTACCCATCACCCTCAACTGGTGGGCCAGACCGTCCTCAACCCTGTCACCATGGTGACCATGCCCTCCTTCCCAGTCAGCACGCTAAAGCTGGCCTGAAGCGCTGACATACAGACCCCTAGATAGAGTATAGACACTTATAGACTGGCCCGCCTTGTCCGCCCCGTTTGAGACTGCAGCCACATGCAGCACTGCATTCAAACAAACTATAAAGCTAAAGGACACAGTACATTCCAAATGAAACGAAAGTATATAAAGCGACACAAAGAAATTTATTGAATGTCAAATACTATATAATGATATATAATAAAAGAGACGTTTTATCTTTATGTGTGGGCAAAGGCAAAGTCGAGAGTGCTTGTGTGCTGCTCAGTGTGTTTTAGGCTCTAGTGGAGTGTATTATGATGAAACTGGTCCGATCCCAGCCTAGATTGACTCTTAGCCAGCCTAATATGTGTGACTACTGGTTTAAATGACAGCCCCCATAATACCTCACACTAGCTCCTCAACTAACAGCACACCTCATGTGAAGACTCCTCTCAGCTCCCGCTAGACCAGGTTTAATGTACTGTGTTGTGACTGATGTAAATCCTGAACCGGTTCTTGAAGTCCCTACAGTTCTTAAAGAGATAGTTTATGTCGTTCCAACCTGTATGACTTTCTTTCTTCTGCAAAACACGAACATGAAGAACTGTTTTTGTCAGTACAATAGAAGTCAGTGGGGTTCAAAACAACACAGACCCTGTTGGCTTTCATTGTCTGGACAAAAACACTTCAAAATAGCTTCTTTTTGTGTTCTGCAGAATAAAGAAAGTCATAAAAGTTTGGAACGACGAGTAAATAATGACAGAATTGTCTCTTTTTTGTTGTTGTTGTTGAACTGTCGATTTAAAATCAATTTACCAGGTCAATTTGACCTTACCACTATAGTTGATGCAAGATGTAGCATCATAATTACACTGGAGAAATGATTTTCTTAATATTTGTTTGTTTGTTTTTTTTTTCATTTCAAATATTTGTAAATTCTTAAAGCAAGATACATTTACTTGAGAAGGAAGATGAATTAAGATATTAACCCCCGGTTTCAAAGACAAGGCTTAAGCCTTTTTATAAAAATTGCTTAAATGTCCTAATTGAACTATGATCTAATCCTAGCTTAGTCTAAGCCCCGTCTGTGAAACGGGGCCTAAATGTTTCAAAATTAAGTGAGCTTATGCTTTAAACAAACAAACAAAAATCTGTTGGAGTAAGAAAAATAATCTTTTCCCTTTGAATAAAGTTTATCTTTCTTGCCCCACTGAAGCATAAACTCACTGAATTTTGATATTTTTATTCAGAAAACAAGACTTAATATCTCAAGTCATATTGTTTTGCAAGTGTATAAATATATGTTGATTTAAAAATGTTAGGTTTTTACTGGAAATCAAGACAGAAATCCTGAGTAAGAAAATCATTTTTGCAGTGTACAATAGTCAATCATGTAGTTGATATACATTTTAGACACCAGAAGCGTATGTGAGATGTTTCCATAAGAAAACGCCTTTTTACAGCGTTTAAATGATTTATCTGTAGTGCTCTAGCTGGCATAGACACTATTGTTGTGTGACTGTCCCATGAGTCTTTGGGAATCTGACAGGAGTGCCTTTTAACGTCAATCTGGAGTCCTGTTCAATGCTGCCCCCTATTGTTCTCTTGCTGCAACTGCACTCTTTAAGTTATTCACTAACAAAGCCACCTACAGTACTTACATCCAGCTCAGTGGTGTATGAATTCAGCTCCACTGAGGGGAACCATCTTAAACAGCCATTAGTTTGCAACAGCGCAAACGTTGCTCTGGATGTCATCGCGAATGTATTCCAACACATTCAATGCCTTCATCTTGCCACTGGTGATAAATGTTGGTTATTATTATATGTGCAGGAAATAACTGCATGGCTATTTCTTCAAGTAGCAGAGTGTTCAATTTCCATGCATTTGTGTGTGTGAAGTGAATGTGTTTCTCAGAGGCTTTGTGCTTGTGTTTTTGTGACTAATAATGTTGCAGTTGGAAGATGAATGGATGTCACTTTGTGTTCCTTGAACATCTTTTAGGCTTCAGGACAGTTGTAAGAGTCTGAGAGATGCTGAAGGATTCATGGACGGGAAGATGTCTGTATTGAGCCGCACTGACCGCTACACAGTTCTGCAGGTAGAGCAGAGCCTGTACGTACAAAGAGATTTGATTTAAAACTAACACTGTGATCCCTGTCGGTTGTTCCAGTAAGAGCAAGCCATGTTTACCAATCACACTAGCGTTATGTTGCGCAAGAGTCCCTGCATTTGTTTTGCTTCTGTAAGCATGTGAGAGAGAACACATTGTTATTACACTTTTTATTTTGGTTGTCAGGTTTTACTTTTGTGTATTCGCACTCTGTAGGATGTACACATTCTTAGACTAATTGATGTGGCTGTTTTTGCATGTAGATGGATGATTTTTGTTTCAGTGCTAATTTTTTTATTTTTATGTTATTTTCAATTTCTGGGACCATGTACAGTTATATAGATGTTGGGGCAACTTTTCAGACCTCTTTCCACACTGATATTATATATATGCGTATATATAGTGTTTTTTCCCTATGGAGAAAGTTCAAGTTGTATATAGCCTGTAAATTTGGGGCTGCGTATAGACCTAACTGTCCATTATGTTATAAGAGGAGCAAAAATAAATAAAAAAGGTTAAATAAAAAAATACATCTTGATACATTTACCTATTGTTTAGTAGTCATTTTTGACACTTGACAGTCAAATTACTAAACTAAATAAGTAATCTTTTGTGTTAAAGAAGAACCAAATGGTTTGGAGAGAATGAGTAAATGATGACAGAATTTTCATTTTTGTGTGAACTATATCTTTAAATTCATAAGTGGCCTGTACAATATTTCTTAAACCTTTAACAGAACTTTTAGCAAACCACTTACAGTTGGCAGTTTGAGTAAAGCCATATAGTTAACATGAAAAAAGAACTGATTATTTTTGTTCAATAGTTGAGAAATCAACCCAACCATTTTTGTGAGTGATGTTTGTTGTACAAAAATGAGGTTTTAGTTCCCACCCTGACCAAACTCGCCTGAACCAACTAAACAAGGTGTTTGGGATTGCTTAAAAATTACAAGATGGTGTGTTAAACTGAATTCTAAAGAACTAAACTAAAAAAATGACGTGAGGGGGAATAAATAATGACCGTTTTTTTCTATTACTTGTTCTGTTCATTTTGCATTAGTAGCCTACATTGGACTGTCGAGTTATACACACAATAAAACAATGAAAATAGCTTATATGGTGCGGAACCTGTTTCTTGCTCAGAGTAGAAACAACATAAAGGTAAGTGTAACTTTCTCCCAAATGTGATTTTTTTTTTATCAAAGTGTTATTTTTGTGTTATTTTAAACTTTATCTCAGTTTTTTTTTACTTCCAACTATAGAAAACAGGTGATTATAACTATGATATATAAGTAAATATAAGCATTGTTATGTTTAAATTATACATATATTCAACACATCAAAAAATATTTTTTGTGTGCCTTACATTAAATAGTTTTTATGAATATGGTGTACTTTACTTTTTAAAGCTACGCATTTACACCAATTACAAAAGTGAAAACAAACAGCATTGTTTTGTGGTGAGCAAGATGAGCGGTTAGCATCTGGCAATGCAAGGCGTTCTGGCAAATACAAATGCCACGAGATGACAAAGTAAAACCACATCATTCATTGCATGGAACAGCCAACCCCTGTTGTTCATCCAGCAGAGAGAGCTTGGTTGAAATCAAAAGAAATATCAGGTCATAAAATGATTCCTTACAGTCTGAATCAGTCAATATGTCATACATAACATTTGACAAATACAGAAAAGATTCATCTAATCAAACACTTCATATGTGGTTTTAAAGTTCGGACAGGACTTCAGTCCTTGTGTTGGTGTGGAGAATGATGCTGTCCACCTCAGATAAACCATGTAATATTGCAATGGGAAAGTCCAGGGCAAGATCACGAGAATCTGGATAGTAAAGAGCATCTAACAAATACATGGCGTTTCCATGCTAATGGTGTAATCAGTTTTTTTTTTCATACACAAACACTTAAACATACATCAAATATGGTCATTATTATAAATGAAAAATGTATGCTACAAAAAAAAGCCTGTTGTTTATTTGTCAATTGTGTGCACTGACGCTTACAGTCATAAATCATTGAAAAAAATATATGCATTTTGTATTTGTAACATTTAATTGCTGTATGTTGTGGTGGCTGCTTTGTGCTTCTTCAGACTTTTTTTCTGATTCTTCAAATCAGTTTAAAGTGACAACAGCGGCATCCACAGATCCACTGGGCCATAAATATCAGTTTGTTTGCCAACAGTGATATAAATTATCTGTTTAAACACACAAAATGTCATGAGATAAGAACATTTATGTCATACTCTTAACAGTTACTTCCTTGTGACACAAATGCAGTTTATTCATTTGATTTATAAACATAAACCACTATTAAAATATAATGACAAAACTATTAAAAAAGTTCTGGTCTGTTTTAACATGGAGTTAACAAAACTACATTTTAACACTGTTTATGACGACACATGATGACTGCCTTTGATTCACTTGGCTCTTGATTTGATCTTGCTCTGATTGTGCACAGGTTATCTCATCCACACAGCCTTGAGTGCTGTCGTTATCAAACTCAGCGGCGTGATTGTCACAGCCTTCCTCATCAGATGCCGGGGCAAGAGCTCGGTTCAGGGTAGGGACGGTGTTAAACATCATGAAACCAACGAGGATCACCACCAATGACACAATATACAGTCCTGAGAACTGAAAAAGAATAAACAAGTGGACTGAAATACCTCAGTCAAAAAAAAGTCTATTTTTATTCAACATTGATGGACCATTTGTAGAAAAAAATATATAATATTGAAAGAAGTTCATTTAAATATAAAAACAGTTAGAGTTACTTAAAGTGTGTAGTGCATTTAGTATATAAATAAATTACTAAGATATGTTTGTTTGTTTTGTGTTTTATTGGTGAGGAAGGTCAAAGAGTAATCAGAGGACACAGGGGACTCAAAAACCTTCACACATTAAAGAAATATAAAGCTCCATGTCACAATGACCCAGAATATCTGAGATAAGAATACAAGGACACATCTATAGATACTACCACTTAAGCATTTTTTAATTTATTTTTATAATTAATTTTTTCATTTATAAACATTACCGTTCAAATGTGACCCTGGACCACAAAACCAGTCTTAAGTTGCACGGGAATATTTGTAGCAATAGCCAAAAATACATAGTATGGGTCAAAATTATCGATTTTATTTTTATGCCAAAAATCATTAGGATATTAAGTAAAGATCATGTTCCATGAAGATATTTTGTAAATTTCCTACCGTAAATATATCAAAACTTCAGTTTTGATTAGTAATATGCATTGCTAAGAACTTAATTTGAACAACTTTAAAGGCGATTTTCTAAATATTTAGATTTTTTTGCACCCTCAGATTCCAGATTTTCAAATAGTTGCATCTCAGCCAAATATTGTCCTATCCTAACAAACCATACATCAATGAAAAGCTTATTTATTCAGCTTTCAGGTGATGTATAAATCAAGATCTTTTGTTTTTGGAAAGAAATTCATACTTTTATGCAGCAATCATCCATTGATTAAACGTTACAGTAAAGACATTTATAATGTTAAAAAAGAGAGAAAGATTTCTATTTCAAATAAATCTGTTCTTTTGAACATTCTATTCATTAAAGAATCCTAAACAAAAACTGTTTTTAACATATATAATATTAAGAAATGTTTCTTGCAAATCACCAAATTACATAAAAAATGTAGTTTTATATACAGTATATATAATAATATTTATAAATAATTTTATAACATAAAATACATCTGTCTCAATGAAGTATATTACTTACAGTGTATTGGAACAAAAAGAGCCCACAAAACAGGCTGAAGAGGTCTCCAGTGAGTAAGGAAAGATTTACCGCTGTGGCACTGCTCATCTTTATCACCACAGGCATGAAGCTATAGAAGCCGTACATGCAGAGCGCATATCCAGCCAGGATAAGAGCTAAGAAGAGAAGCCAAAAATCAAGCCTTTAGATGACGACATTGACATAACTGAAAGGGTTTTTATTTCGCATGGCTGTACTTTACCAATTTCCCACGTCCACTGAATTTTAGACACTTCATTATGTTCAAGAATCCCTCTGTAGGTAACAAAATAAAACAGTGCAGATGATGTGGAACTGCATGACGTTCAGCAACTGGTCTACTGTTTTTGTGATTCATGCACAAATCTTACAGTTGTATTGCACTGATGATTGACCCGAAGAGACCGACCATGCCCAAAAACTCCACCCTGCTCAGATTCTTCACTGTGTATTCCTGGCACACGTTAGAGATGGCATACAGAGTGGCACTGACTAGAACCAGACCGTCACCGAGGAGAATGTCACTTGCTGTTGACACAGGAATTAATAATGTTTATGTTTTCACTTGTGTTTTCTGTTAAATTATATTCTGGAGAAGCAGCTTGCTCCTCACAAGATCCCTGGTCCTGGCCAGCGAGGATGTCCGCTCCCACCATGGCTCCCACCCCAGCCAGACAAAGACATACAGCTACGTAGTGAATGATCCTATAGCGGGTCTTCAGGAAGAACCAGGACAAGATCATCAAAACCGGGATAATAAAGCAGTCCAGCAGCTGAAATTCAGACAATAGGGTCAGTTAGTCAAACAACAGCTTGCATTGAGAATTTAAATCAGATTCTTCTTTTGTCAATGTATTACAAGAGACACGTTTTGAAATGCAAATTCAGAACCTTCGCTACAGTTCAAAAGTTTGGGGTCAGTAAATTGAAGTACCAAAAGTCAGCTTTGCCATCACAGGAATAAACTATATATAGAAACAGTTATTTTAAATTGTAACAGTATTTCACAATAAAGGTGTTTTTACTGTATTTTTGATCAAATAAATGCAGCCCCTCACTTTTGAGTGGTAGTGTAAGCACAGTGTATATCATCACATCCAGAAAAAGCTGTCACCTGTATGCTGGTTAATGTGGTGTACTGATATGCTTTCACCACTGCGTAATTTGCCTCCACATCTGTCAGTCCTAACAATAGATACTTCCACCATTTTGTCTTTAATATCTGCAAAATATTGCCATCACCTATATTAAAAGAAAGGTATCCTTAATATTACATGCCAAAAAATGGATACCAGCAGATAATTGAAAAACATTAATGATTGGACAAGAATGAACACATGAATACCTCGTCTGAAGATCAGTGCAATGGTGTAAGTGATGCCCAGAAGGGTGTAATTAATGAAGCTCTGCAGCATGGCTGTACTCAGATAGTAAACGGACGCCAGATACTGAGATGTTACAGCAGTCCCACAGATCAGTGCTGAGAGGCCTTGTCCCATCAGCAGAGTTTTAAACAGTTGCCTGCAATGAACAATGGCTGGAATAACTGTGCACCAATTGATGAGGGGTTTTATACTGGTATGCACTATTCATAAAGTGCTAAAGTCCTCTCTCTGCATATAAAATATATGGTGTTTAAAATATACATTATACATTTTTTTTTAAATAATAATAATAATAATAATTTAATTTTATACATTTAATGTTAACATTTCTCATTACAAATTATGTTAACGGCATAACAATAAGTAAAAGGTTCACTGAAAAATAAAACCTGACAGTGTTGCTGTTGTTAACTAAAACTATTAAGAATAGTCCATTTCCTGTTCAGTAATTGAAATAAAGCTGAAATAAAATAAAATATAAATATTAGATAAAAACCCAAACTTAAAAAAAAAAAAACTTAAATGGCAATTAACTGAAATAGGTCTAAGTTGGATTTCTAAAATTACTGAAATAAATTAAAATTACAACGAAGTAGATAAAAAAAAAAAACAATTAAAAACTTAACTTAAACTAAAACTTTAACTAAAATGAAAATGGATAAACTTAAAACAAGAGTAAAAAAATAAAAGCTAAATAAATACTACAATAGTACATCAATAATACTAAAACACTGAACCCTGACAATCATGTTATACAGCTTCAGATCCAAAGAGCAAAGAAAAAAGACAATTTTCAATGTGGTCGGAAACTTACAGAAACCGCTGTATGGACATTTGCATCCACTCACCATGTGAAAATATCCCTCCATTTAGTCAGTCCTTCTCTTATTTTATAGCAGAGAGTGTCCTGCTCCTGAGGCATCTTGTGTCTCTTCTGTGGACTCTTTCATGTCTGAGAGCTTTGAGACAGAATCTCAGTGAGTAATAAGATCAATCATTTACAGTTTAAGAAACAAAGTACACTGCAGCAGGGATCTTGAATTCACAGTGAGCTAATCTTGAACTTTAAGCTAGGGTGCCAGAGAGAAATCGAGCACAGTGGTCATTTTAAACCTGTTCAATTGTACTCAAATGTATATGCTGTTTGCTTTTCATTAATAAAAAAGCACGGGCTCATTAGAGACATTCGTTTGAGAATCAGATCCTTCTGTGCACTAGTTTTGCTTTCTTTTTATGCAGTTTTGATCCTCACTATTTTATGATAAATCTGCTTCTCCTGCCATCTCACACTGATGAATGAATGAACAAGGAAATGTCCCCAAGTTTCCATTTCAGAAATCTGAAATGTATCACACTTTTCTAAAATATGATCTAATATTACAGCGTTACGTGAGTTTCAGGTGATTCGCTATTGACCAATATCATGAAAATAGTTAAACACTGTTCTGTTCTTGTGAGTCCATTAAATAAAACAGCTTTACAGTTGAAAGGCAACGTTGGTATTTATTAACGTAATTGTTGTTTAATTGTTTCCTTTCACTGGTATATCTGTTCCAGAATATCCAGTTACTTTTATGTTAACAGAATGCAGTTTTGGCCTTGGTTTCAACTTATTAAACTCAACTTCAGACATTATATTAACTTGGGCTCCTGTATCCAGCTTACATGCAATTGTGCAGCCATTTCTATGTAGATGTACAATCCACTCTTTCTGGTCACTTTCACATTCGCTTACTGCATCTACATAAAATTCTTCCAATTCGCACTCAGTAACTGCATTTACTTGGTTAAATGATCTCTTGCTTTTACAACAACGTGCATAATGATTATTTTTATCACAATTGTTGCATTTTTTACCATAAACTGGACATTTTCTGGGCGGATGTTGCATCCCACATATTCTTTGACGCTTCTCATCCATTACTCTGCCCCTTTCCTTGAACGCTGTATTCCTTACACTTCCGCTAGGTGGTGTCTGACATTTCTTCACAACGTCCACAGTACAGCTCTCATTTAACAACTCTTTTGCTTGTGTCTTTACAGTTTCTGCTGCTCTGCAAAGCGAAAGCGCTTTCTCCAGATCCAAATTTTGTTCCCTGAGCAGTCGCTCCCTCAATCCATTGTCAGGTATCCCACACACAATTCTGTCTTTTATCAGATAATCTGTTAACTCGCCAAACTCACAAGTTTTACTCCTATGTCTCAACTCCGTCACATACTGATCAATGGTTTCCCCATTCCTCTGCATGCACGTGAAAAATCGATGCCTCTCATAAGTAACATTCCTCTTCGGGATACAAAACGCTTCAAATTTATCCATTATTGGCTGCAATCGCAAACTCTCTCCTTCTTCAAAAGTGAAATTATTATATACCTCCAATGCTTCATCACCGACCACATGAAGAAACGATGCTTTCATCTCTTCGATCTCCATCAATTGCAGACAAGTACAAGAGAAATCGTTACTTGAATCGTCTCCAATTCTCAGCAACATTACCGGTAAGTTGAAGTTTCGGAGGCGGCTGCAATCCTTCTTTGTTCTGTGTTTGTCATCCACGTGTGCATACACTCTCAACTCTCATACTCCGCTCCGTATACGTTCCTTTCAAAAAGCCACTTCTGACACCATGTTCTGTTCTTGTGAGTCCATTAAATAAAACAGCTTTACAGTTGAAAGGCAATGTTGGTATTTATTAGCGGTTACAACTGTGGCGTGCTGCCACCACGCACACTCCCAGGGCATCTGCCCCCATGCTGCACATGCGCAGATATATATTGTTTTAACCACACCTGGTTGCCATTACTATTATCATTACAAACACTACTTTTATAAATATTACCAAAAGTGAAAAGGATTAGCCAACGTCACCAGTGGCTCGTGTTGAGCCTCCAGCGCCACAGATGGCGCTAATGAATCATATGTTCCCTGCGCATCGACACCAGTAAAGAAGTATTCACGTCAGCACAGGGAAATAAAACGACTGTTTACTGTTCACAATGATGGAGGACGAAGAATTAGAGTTTGTGGAAGATTTGGAGGCCATATTACACCTTACTCCAGAAGTGCAGCTGGCCATTGAGCAGGTAACTCAGATGAACTGTCGTTGTGTTTGTTTCTATTGCAGTGAGCACACAAGCTGTCAGCTGTTGCCTTCTCCTGAGATGCTAATAGCCCGTTTGAAACATCTCCATTAATGCTCACAGTTTTACTTATGTCTTGTTTATTTATAATGCTACGTATTAGTTTACGTAGATGGCTGTTGTCAAAACTGACTTCAGTTTTAAAACTACAGACCAGCAAACGCAAATTAGTCATTGCTAGCTTGTGATTTGAAGGCAGGTGTCAAAACAGGAGACACCTTGACATATCCAGGGTTTTCAACAAGGGAGTACGTGTAGAAGATGAAAAGAAAAAAAAATGTACACTGTAATGCCATTTAAGAATCGTAAAATGGACTAATGTTAGTCTGTGTACTTAATGAAAGATAGTATAAAAAAGCTACTAAGAACATTTAGCTTGTTATGTTTATACCCATGATCCAGTGGCTTGCTGATTGTCTAGAAACATTGAAAACCTTTGAAATGGTCAACAGTTTTATCTCTAATATCAATAGTTTTATCTCTAAAAGAGTTCTGGCTTAATATATAGTTAAAGTGACTATTGGTCCACGAATGCATCCTAAGTAGAAGTACTCTGAAATGCATTAGTTAATAAACAAATCTGTCTGATGGCAGCTTCCTGAGTAATGTTTACCTACAGTAATTTACTGTACAGTGAGGGAAAAGACTGTGACTAAAGCATCAACGTTGGAGAGCATGCACAGAATTGTTTAATAATATAATGGTTTGTCAAGCCATAATCATTCTGCTACCTTCGATGAGTCGGGCGTAAGATCAGTAATACAGCTGGATCTCTTGATCTATTTGTTAAGGTGCCACCTGAACAGATTGCAGTCTAGAAAAGCTTGATGGTCACTTCAGAACATCTTTAGAAAACTTGTGGACACCTGATTCTCATTCAGCAGAGCCTGCTTTTCTGGTCCTGGCCATATCATATGTTATCTGCTCATTTTTGTAGGTTTTCCCCAGCCAGGACCCTTTGGATCGAGCCGACTTCAATGCTGTTGAATACATTAATACCTTGTTTCCAACAGAACAGGTGAGTCTGAATTAGAATACTTGAGCAATGGTCAGCGTGTTGAATGTGTACCTTAATTCGAAAACTTTTTATGTGTATTTAAGCTCTAGTTCTGAGCAGCATCATACTGTTACATACTAATAGCTTCGATAATGCAAATAAATAACAAATCTCAAAAACCCATATTGATGCAAGTGACCAATAATGCTAATACTTATGCTTTCCTTTACATTACTGCAGAAATTCTCCTCTATTGAATGTCTATATTTTTGTCCACTAGAGAGCACTGCTCTCTTCGAGCAAGAAGAAGTGACTAATAAGATGTTGATTATTAAGAGATAAAATTCAAGGATAGCTGATATATTTCAGTAGAGATGTTTTTCCAACCAAATCTTGATATTAAATCTTTTTTATTTTTTTTAATAGTCTTTGGCGAATATAGATGAAGTGGTGAATAACATTCGACTTAAAATCAGGTGAGTTTTTAATCTTTAGACCCTGATATGGTCTGCATTTATATATGGAGGTTCTTTAGGTTTTCATCTTATTAAATTGGTATTGTAAATAATTATTTTAATCAGACGGTTGGATGACAACATCAGGACAGTGGTGAGGGGACAGACTAATGTGGGGCAGGATGGCAGACAGGTGAGTCTTTTGGTTCCACCTTCATAATGTCATTAACATTATGCCACATGGGGTTCCAGTCTAATAGGGTTCCAGAGTAATTTTTTATGACTTTCTTTCTTCTGTGGAACACAAAAGAAGAAATTTTGGAGGACATCTGTCCGTACAATGAAGGTCAAACAACATTGGACCCCACTGACTTTCATTATGTGGACAAAAAGCCCTACATTTAAAAAAAAATTGCTTCTATTGTATTACACAGAAATAAGTAAATCATACAGGTTTGGAACAACATAAGGGTGAAACAATGATTGAGTTTTCATTTTTGGGTGAACTATATGTGTTTTTGCACTATAATGAAATCATTGTAGTGGTTAAAGCAGCTTTTGAACTTTCCTCGTGGTAAACCACTCTGTCCACTTCACAACGGCTCTCAACACCATCGTTGTCTTGTGCATCTCTTCCATCTCACGTCTCTGGAAGTGACCGAGGCTCTACAGAGTCCCAAACGCTGTCTCTTCCTGGAATGGAAGGCACACTTTACTCTGAATTTCCCTGTTCTCAGCAGCAATTGCATTCCACATTGTGGTTTAGTGTCCTGCTATTTCTTGGACCAGGCTGGAAATGTTGATTCAACACAGATCCGTTCTTAATCAGAGCAGGCTGAGGTGAAATGCAACCCCTTTATTGAGATGTAGTGAGGCAGCATGGTTGATACCTGCGATTCAGGGTTCAGCTGTTCCTGAATTAACAGCATGCACCGCTAGTGGAAATTGGTTGTGTCTGAATGGATCACCGTTAACGCCGGGCCACGAGTCTCAAGGCCTGTAACCTTCCGAGTTGTTTCCACAGAGCAGAGGAAAAATCCTTTCCCCAGATGGAACGGCGGGGAAGTGTGGATTACACATGTAGCTCAAGGCTAGGAGTAATGGTGGAGACAGAGGGAGAGGACTGGAAAGACCCGCTGCAGCCTTTTTTTGTTTAGTCTGTGTAGTATTTATCAGTGAGATGGAGACATCCGTGTCTGGAACGGGATCCCAGGGGTCTGCTTGATGACATTTCTAGCTGTGTGGAGGAGGCGGACGGATGTGCTTGTCTTAAGCCAGTATTTTCACGTACTCCCCTGTGGTATAGAAAATGCTAAAGTTAGAACTGGTCATTGGGTGCCTTATTTGCAATTGAGTCGGGGCTCTTTGAAGTTTGGATGAAGCTGAGGGCCTGATAAATAGTATCTGAGACAGTCACAGATGTTTACCCTGTTTAAAGACCCGAACTCCTCTCTGGTATTGTTATTGTATGCCTGCTGTGTGGATCAGTGTCGTTTTAGTATCATTGAGATGCTATTGTATTTAATTAATATTTTGAATTAGTTTTATTTTTATATTTTCCATTTTCATTTTGCAGGGTTTTCGCAGGTCTTAAATCAGAATAGAACTTCTTAAATTCATAAAGTCATTGCATTAAATGATGCATGCACTACAAACTATGAGACTATCTTCCTCAGTATGTTTGTCTTTTTTTTGTTCAATACAGATATCTAAACATTCCTAAATCAAGATACTTTTACTTGGGTTTCTTGTTTTAATCATAAACTCACTACATTTTAAGACATTTCTCAGAAGACAAGAAGACCTAGGAACTGAAAAAAATACTGAGGAAGATTCTCTCTTTTTTTTTTTTTTTGCAGTGTGATCATAAGGTACAGTAAAAGTTATTTCCATATTCTAGTGGTTGGAAGCTATTAAGTGGCTTAAGCTGTTTGGTTTTGTAAAATGAATTAAAAAGGGAGATCTGTTGGAAATTGTTGAAACTTTAAAGTGTTGCTACTACAACTCATTGTCTGCTCTCTAGACATTATATTCACTTCAATTTATTCCTTTACATTTTTTTTTTTTGCTTAGTCTTAAAGTCTTAAATGTACCTTATACCATAAAACCTACAGAAACCCAGGTTTTAATTTTTTAGTTCTAGTAATTTTTTTTTGTTTATTTCTTTTAGTAGTTTTTTAATGTCTATTTTAATGTTAATTAATTCTACTTCCAAGTAATGTTTTTTTATGGTTTTCTCTGATGTGGATTTAGTATAATAATTAGCTGGTCACCACACTTTGTTCTGTTTACTAGGAAAAAATATATTTGGTGTCTTTGCCCAGCTTTTCTAAACAACATTTTTTGTGGTTCTTATCAGAACATTTACAGTGTGTGGAAAGTACTATTCTAGACTATTGTTAACTGACAACAATGTATTTGGAAACATTTTCTGAATTGGAAAAGCAGTTGACAATGTGGGGAAACTTGTTAGATGTGTGATATCATTCATAAAGGAAAGTCAACAGTGGGCCAAAGCATTTGGTGCGAATTAATTGAGGACAACCCATGCTTTGCCTTCCCCTTTGTCTCACGCAGGGTTTGCAGGGTTTGTCATTATTTTCCTTGCTGCAGAAAGTTCCATATAAAAAAATTGCCATGTTGTTGTTCCCAGTGTTCCCAGACAGATGAGAGGTTTATAGCTGTCAGGGAGCCAGTTGGGATCAGGATGTCTCATGTAGTTTTTGGCATCTGGAGCTGCTTATTAGGAATCCCGAGAAGGAGCCTCCCCAAGAATGTAGTATAAATATTTAATCTAAACACAGGATGGAAAGTTTACTGCATGTGTGATTTTCTATCAGTCGTTATAGACCGATCCCTGTCTGTCCCTTTGGAGTTGTTTTAGTCATCACATGTAGCTCAAGGCTAGGAGTAATGGTGGAGACAGAGGGAGAGGACTGGAAAGACCCGCTGCAGCCTTTTTTTGTTTAGTCTGTGTAGTATTTATCAGTGAGATGGAGACATCCGTGTCTGGAACGGGATCCCAGGGGTCTGCTTGATGACATTTCTAGCTGTGTGGAGGAGGCGGACGGATGTGCTTGTCTTAAGCCAGTATTTTCACGTACTCCCCTGTGGTATAGAAAATGCTAAAGTTAGAACTGGTCATTGGGTGCCTTATTTGCAATTGAGTCGGGGCTCTTTGAAGTTTGGATGAAGCTGAGGGCCTGATAAATAGTATCTGAGACAGTCACAGATGTTTACCCTGTTTAAAGACCCGAACTCCTCTCTGGTATTGTTATTGTATGCCTGCTGTGTGGATCAGTGT